GTCCGACGGAAAAGCGCCGTCCCTTCATACGGACCTGGGCGGAGGAGCACTGGAACGGCATCGCGTTCGCTGGTAGATGCCCTTTCGTTTACTGGGATTTGCGCGCTCTATGTCAGATTGGTATAATCAATGTAGTGACAAAGGCAAACCAGGCGGAATGCACGGGAAGGATGGAGGTCGTGCGTCGGTGGTCAACGCTGAGGGTGATAGTAGCAGTAGTGGCTCGGAGATGTCGGTGGCAGACAAGATGTCACTAATGCAATTGCAATTACAAATCGCAGAGGCATCACTGGAGAAGCCAAGGCTTCTGTTAGAAACTCAACTCCTCCTAAATTTGAGCACACAGTCCTTGTTGGATGGGAGGGGTGGACATGGGGTTGCTGAAGAAGACAGGAGGGTGAAATACGCCAGCGTATTGGAGGGCGTCTCGCCCCCATGCCTACTCATGAACCGCTGGTGCCCCGATGGTTTGATGGTGTTAAGGCGGCCCTAGACTCGTATAGTGTGCCCAATGGCTGATGGGCGGGGGTCGTCTTACCGCGGCTGAGTAAAAGAGCTCGTTGCTTGCTTGCGAACCTCTTCGCAGGGGAGCGCATGGACTATCGGACGCTCAAATCCAAGGAATCGGGGGGTCTGTGGCTGCCAGCGGCAGAATACATATGTCTCTTCCTAAGCTGTAGGATGGCTAGCAAGGAGATGGGAGAGCAGTTCTCGGTCAGGCTAGAGGACTACCTGGTATACTAGCTGAGCAGCTGCAACGCACAGATCATAGAGAAGCTGCAACAGCTAATGGTTAGCGGCCGCATGAAGAAGTGTCTTTTTGCGGACGCTAGAGCCCACATCATACTCAATGCAAAGGGAGGCTTTCTGACCTCGGGCGCGATAGCTCAGCTCTCAGAAGACTTTGTTGAAACTCTGAAATTGGAGTGGGGTTGAGTTAAAGACAAGGGCGGTACAATGGAAAAGCCGAATCTAGAAGCACGCGGCAAGGACGTACGGTCAGCTGCACCGTCGGGGCGCCGCTGTTTTGGCTGTAACAAACATTGCAAAATATTGCCCTACTCGCAACACCAAATCCGGTGACCGGATGGGAAAACGTAACGATTAAAAAGATCGCCCGTTGGTGGCCAGGGTTTGTGTGATAAAATTTGAGGTTGAGCCCGGAACGACGGCATAAAAGGAGGGCAGTGGCGGACACACCGTGTCGCTTAAAAGTTGCGCTGTCGACAATACTGCAGTCGATGACTTCGGGGCAACATTAGTGTCATTCGATAGTCTGTCCTACCTGACTGTGAGGCCGTAGGCTCCACAATTGAGCTAGCGAGTGCGTTTGGCGATCGGGTGACCGTGGTGCTTGCGTAGGGGCCGCTTCGTGTGGTCACGGGTGGTCCGTATGTCTCGTTGAAACCGGGAAGTCAGGGAGTGTTATGCGTCCTTACGGAGAGGTTGGTGGAAGGGGTTTACGCTCTGGCCTCATCTTTTGGTTACGAGCAGCTGCTGAGTGAGCGAATATGCACTGACTTCTCGCCTCAGCCCACTGTACCAATGGCAAGTGAAACAGCTGAGAAGGGTGGTGAGATCGGTGAGCAGTCGTTAGAAGCAGATGTGCTGACTGTAATGATGGAGGAACGAGAAACCAGCAATGGGGCGAATCAGATTGTCAGGCATGAGTTTAGGCGATGTCAGGAAAGCGACACGACACTAAATGAGGCCTGGAAGCAGGCTGGCGAAGGAACGCATGGAGTGGGTTAATTAATGAGCTTCTATATCGACCGTCCCGCACTGCAAAAATCTAATGTCACGGTTGGAAATAAGAAATGCAAACTGAATGCCGATGCGGACGCGCTCTCCAGACTGGTGACGGCCGAGGCATGACCACCTGGAGGGTAAAAACGTCGAACCCTGCAACTTGCGGGACAACTGAATAGGCCGTACTGTCATGGGGCTTGCGGGTTGCGGCTGCCGGAAGGCCCTACTAATGTGTGTGGTGTGTGATGTGTTTGTGTGCATGTTCGAACCCTTTGGCAATCCTGCAAGGCAGAATCCTCCTGCGGCCTGTATTTGTTATGCCCCTCGGAGGCAGGAGTGTCTGCAGTCGTACTGGTTCGCGATCGCGTTCTGTTTATTATTGTCCCAGTGTATAGTGATCCAACTGCTCTATTCGTCCATCGGCTTTGCTGATTTTAGTGACTAGTGCGTATACGTACATGTTGCTTCACTCGGTTAATTTGTAGGCTTTACCAAGTTGACAAGGTTGACGTGCTTGCAGATTTTACTCTCCCAGGTGAAGAGCGTTATTTTCTCTCATAGGAGGAAGGCGGCACGTGGTTGATTTCAAGAGGCGCAGTTGCCCTCGGGAGGCAGACCTTAACGTTGTCTCTCTATGTGTACGTTCGTGCGTTGTTTTGTTGTTGTTTTCCTTTTTAGGCGACTTCTAGTATTGTTTTGTTTTTTTGTTTTTTTGCTACTTAGTTTTAGAAGTTGTGGCGCAGTCTTGGAGCGGACGTGTGAGGCTGTCGCAATACGCGGCTGCAGTTGAATTGGTGCACTTTGAAGAGCCATTTGTGAGTCGTGAAGCCGCCGCCCTAGGGCGGGTTTTTGTTTTCATGCACTTCGAATGGCGACTGATAGGGGGTTTTGTTCGACCGTGCCGGGCCCCGATAATTGTGCGCCCGCTGCAGCGCAGCCAAACAAACCCAACACGGAGCTCGGGATGCCGTGGCCCGTCTCCACGAGTGGAGGCGGCTTGCGGTCACAGTTTCTCATGCAGGGATCTGCCGTTGGAAGACGGCACCTATAGAACGGTCTTCGGTCATATTCGGGCTGCGCCATAACCCGGGATAATGGCTACGTTTCAAAACCTAGATGTTTGCTGCTACAATTACCCGACAGACTGGGCCCAGTTTGCTGCTGTCTGCACTTTGGCTTTGACCGAACTACACCGAGCTATGCGTAGAATAGGGTGCTCGTTCGGGCCTTTTCTTGCGACCCTCCCCGTTGGTCGGAGCTGGCATGCCCTGCCTTCATTTGGCCTGACAAGCGTCGGTATTTCAACTTTATTTTTAATTCTAAGACCGCCTTGGGGTCCTTGTTCTAGACCCAGTGGGGAGTGTGACCTTTCGCCTGTGTGCTATGAGGTCGTCGCTGACTGCACCCAATGGGATAGGTTTTGGATTCTGGGTAAAACAAGTGGTGGCCGCGAGTTTTTGAACCCTATGAGGACTAGGAAAAGGGAGCAGGGTGTACGGGCTCTAGAGGAGCCCGTACACCCTGCTTTGTGCTCCCGGAGCGGGTTTGGCCGCGAGACTCCTGCCGTGTCCGGCAAGCATGACAGTCCTGTTACATTTTTCTCATCGATGAAGAAAGAGTAAAACAATTAAAACAGGGACAACACAACCACATCTTTCACCTAGCAACAGACGAGTAAACTTTCAACGGCGAGCAGCCGACTATATTCAGGAAGGAAAGGGGAGAGAAGGCGAGATAAAAAACGCGAAGTACAAATCAGAGTGGTGGGTTTATCTCGGATTATAGAAAATCAACCTCAGTTTTCGTCAGCAGAAGGGAAGGATTTGATACGTTGTTTTTTTCAGTGGTCATGGCGAATGACTCTATGATCTCCCTGCTGAATCTGATGTCGTGCCCCCCCCCCCAGAATTTTTGTTTCATCAAAGAGGGGATGAAAAAGCAAACACGAACGGACATGTATGGCTATGGCATGGTAAGAATCTGGAGAGGCCTTAGAAACTTCGTTTTGATGTTCACGGAGTCTGTGATTGTTGCATCTGCCGGTTCATTGCCTCAAAGTTCGACACGAATGTTGTCTTCTCCTGCCGCATGCGTCTTAAGCAACTCTGTCAACAAGTAAACAACAACCGGATACCGATTGGTTGCACTGTTAAACACGAAAAGGAATTCATTCCATGCAAAGAGAAGAAAGTTTACTCCATTCCCTTGAGCTGCGGCCATCAATACATGGGTCAGACCGGCAGATGCATTAGTCACAGACTCCGCGAACATCACAACGACGTTTCTAAGGCCTCTTCAGATTCTGATCATGCCATAGTCATACATGCCCGTTTGTGTTTGCTTTGTCATACCCTCTAAGCTGAAACAAAAATTCTGGGGGGGGGGGGGGGCATGACAGCAGATTCGGCAAGGAGATCATAGATTCATTCGCCATGACCACTGCAAAAAACAACGTGTCAAATCCTTCCCTCCTGCTGACGAAAACTGAGGTTGAATTTCTAAAATCCGAGATAAACCCACCGTACTGATTTGCACTTCGCGTTATTTTATCTCCCCTTTCCTTCCTGGATATAGTCGGGTGCTCGCCATTGAAAGTTTACTCGTCTGTTGCTAGTTGAAAGATGTGGTTGTGTCGTCCCTGCTTTAATTGGTTTACTCTTTCTTCATCCATGACTTCAAACGAAACGCTCTTTTCCAAGCATACATTTTTATATTGTTATTGTTATATTCACTCCCGTTTGGTAAACGTTTTTGTTGCTCTTGTTAACGCCCAATTTTCATGATGCGTTATTCGACATCCTTGGCAAGAGGCACGATTTCAGGATCAACCTCAAACGATACCATCGGAAAGAAATGAACCATACTAACATTTTCAGTCATTATGCTTTTCCAAATCTGTAAAGTGAGCCGTCAGGTAAATTGCATTTATTTGATGTGCAAACATGCTAAACATAACTCATGAAAAAAGTCATATTTTCCTGTATTACATCCAGTGGGAAGCTGTTTAATTAGTATTTTCAATAGGATCGCGCCTAAGGAAGCAAGAAAATGTGGAAAAATTGATATTTCTGTTTAGTGTTCTTACCGAAAATTATTAAAAAAAAATAATAAAAGTACGTAAAGTCTTTACAAAGTAAGTCAGCAAGCCTTTACGTTGTAAAATCACGAATATCAAACCAATATGTCATGCATCGGTATGACCAGCTCCCTTCACATTTTGGGCTTAACATACAAACATATGAAAGACTTACGTCTCAAAGCCCAAGGCTCAAGGTTTCTGAGTCCACGCATCAGCTTCAGAATGCCCAAGCTGCATTCCGCAGACACCTCAGCTTGGAGCATCATTCGAACGGCGTTGCTTGCGGAGGCGCTGTTCATGACAGTCCTAAGAAGCTTACGGACTGCAGCCACGGCACTGGGCCCCTCCTGCGCCGTTGTAGGATGATCGGCCGGACCATCGGTCACATTCTCGGACGCTCGCGCGCACCACGCTGCTAGAGTGACTTGAACAACAAAGCAGACACAAAAACTAGATACTTTCATGTTGACGGGAATATTGAGTCCGCATAAAACACGTACTAAAGAAGTTATATTTGCAGTATTGAAAGTTCGTTTTTAAATATTCCGGAACTGCTTTCGGTCCTAAAAGTACACTCCTCTACTTGTTAGGGGCATAAAAAGCATCAACACCACTAAATGTTTTACGCAGGGAGTCGTATTTTCACTATATTCGCGCACTCAATGTGATGCTACTCCGTTTCTTGAAATGAGATGGAAGCAGCGTATGAAACAAAAGGCCGGTCACCAGGCTTTGTTATATCCACGGATGTGTAGCGTAGCCAAGTATTCGCGTGACGCTATGATGTAATTCTGTTAACTCTTGCGAAAGGAGGGTAGGGAATTGAGCGCACAGAAAACAGAACTCCTAAATCGTTCCACGGGGGGTTTAAACGTCCGATGGGAAGACTGTCGTCTATGACGTCTGGGATCACACCAACGTTTAAACTAAAAAGAGGGGAAGGTAACGTTTTCGATTAAAAGGAGAAACAAATAAAAAGAGAGAGCGAGTGAGGGAGCAGGCAAATGAGATCCCCCCTTCCTTTGCAGGACTACAAAATCATTGCTGTGCCAAGACATTTAGAATGCGCGACGCAGCCGCGCATTCCCAATGCCTTTGCACCGCAAACGGGCCCGCAAGAGTGAGAAAGCGGAACCCGTTACTTTTTATAACCTCCGCCAGCCGCTTTATCACAGAAGCCTTGAAAGCAAACATATTCGGCAGAACTCTGCCTGTCTGGTTAAGAGTTGAAATCCGAAAATGTAGCTCCAACCAGTACTCGAAAGGAAACCCGACGTTTCGACACAACTTGGTTTCTTCTTCAAGGCTGACTGAAAGCCCACGAAACAGCAGCAGCCCCTAACCTCTTCATCTTTAAAAAAAAAATAAAAAATAAGAAATGAAAAAATTGTAAAATAACTTTTTAGTTAATGAGACGTTCATCACTTGAGCTCTTTCGTCAGGTCACGGAGACCCTGTGCGTACACAGAGGGCAAGGCTCCAGGGACCTGTTTAGGTTTCCTGACGTATGCTGGATTTCCAATGGTTCTCATCGCATTAACTTTTTGAACGCGCACGAGGTGGACAGAGAGCCCAATTTCCGAAGAAGACTTTTCTTGGAATCATGGCAAAACCAGCGTACGCCAGGAAACCGTAAAAGGTCCCTTGGCGCTTTGCCCTCTGTGTACGCACATGGCCTCCATGACCTGACGAAAAAGTCCAAGAGATGACCCTCTCCATAAATTAAAAGTTATGTTACAATTTTTTAATTTAATATTTTCTACCTTTTCATTTTCTTTTCTTTTTTTAGGACAACAAGGTCAGGAGCTGCTGCTGTTCCGCGTGCTTCACTCACCCTTAAAGAAGAAACCGATTTGGTTTCGAAATGTCAGATATCCTTTCGAGTACTGTTGGAGCTACGTTTTCGGACTTTAGTTCAGAAGCGTGTGGAAGTGTTTGGAGGAGAACTGAAGAGACAGCGCGACGGGACGCCAGAAACGGAAAGGTTGACAGGGAAAGCGAAAAACGCACATCACGCGCGATATGAAAAGAGAAGGCACCCTTTGAAGGATTTTTGAGTATCTTCAAGGGAGAGAATAGAACAGAAGCCTCTGCTTCTTAACCCTGCTTTTTTTTTGGGGGGGGGGGGGGGGGGGGGGGCTCCGCTGACCGATTTTGGCCTTCTAGCGAAGAACGGTCGGTGGAACCATGAAACTGTTGACCAATGAAGAAAAGTTTGCTAGCTTATATAAATATTTATTTTTTTGTGCGGCAATATTTTTTAGGAGGCTTTAAGATTATTTCTATGATTTTAATAAGAGTACCGCATACTACGACGAATCCTTTGCGGATACATCATGTTTTCTTCTTTTTTTTAAATTCTAATTTGCTTATTTTGCCACAAACAATACATTTGCCACTGGGGCGCTGAAAAAAAGTCGCGGGTCTGCAGCTTGACGAGTCCCAGCACCCCAGCACAAGGTAAGAGTGGCACTGACACACACAAACAAAAAAGAACCAATATGCGCACACATGCATAAGCATACACTTATATGGAAAAATGAACAATAAATATCAAGACTTTAACTTCACAATGAACAGTATACAAAAATATGGGGTTACTTATTAAAAGGATTCTTAAATGGAACGATGACTAACAGAATGTATTTCAGCATCATAGGAAAGCAGAGTGTTCAATAAAGCCGGTAATTGTTGGCGATATACAGGGTGTCACAAAAGAAAATTTACACAGTCTTTTTTACCGCAAAAATGAACTAGGCGTCGCCGAACGCTCATTCTCCGCCCAAAGGTAGCGCTAGAGGTCACAACCAGATGCCAAAGTTTCAGCCCTATCCGATAAGTTAATCAAAAGTTATAACTGATTTTCTGAAAATTTCAACGCAAAATTGGCGGCCGACGGAGTTTTCAAACACATGGGGCTCTATGGCACCAGAAAGCGAAAACGGGCAAAAATGGGCTCCATTTTCCCATTGAAATTTTCAGAAAATCACTTATAACTTTTGATTAAGTTATCGGATCGGGCTGAAACTTTGGCATCTGGTTGTGACCTCTAGCTCTACCTTTGGGCAGAGAATGAGCGTTCGGCAATGCCTAGTTTATTTTTGCGGTAAAAAAGACCGTGTAAATTTTCTTTTGTGATACCCTGTATTTGTAGACCACAATTTGTCATATAAAAGGAAATACACAAGGGGGGCTATGTCGCGATGCGTATACAGACTCGTTTGTTTCTAGATTACCAAACTTTAAAGAAATGACAATACCTGATATATATGAACAGCCAACTAAAACTGTCTAATATTACTTCTCGTTAGTTTTGTGAGATCGAAGAACCGCAAATCTGCACTGGCGAGAAGATAGCGCGGTGCAAGCGTAGACGATCTTTCCAACCCTGGAACGGTAAAAGTAAAATAACACAACATAAAACAATTTCAAAATTTCCCTAGCGGATTTGGCGTCGCTCGGAGTTTTCACGTGACAACGAATCGGGTACTTCGCAGCTCGAGCGAAAATCACAAATGTTTGACCTCTCACGCACGCATATAAAATGGCTTGCGCGCGTACAGCGAATTCGGCGAGCAGGTGTTCGAAATTGCGTCTTTGCCTCACCGGAACGCAAGGAGGAGCATGCCTCTCGAAGGGCAATAGAGAGAACGCGTTGGGAACGCGCGGTCACGAGGCAGAGAAGCACCCGCCATCATTAGTCGAAGTCGCGGTTTAAACAAAAGCGCGAGGTGTCGTTGGGGGGTAAGCATTGGCACGAGGCGCGCAAAGAACAGACGAACTGGCAAGCCGTATTGCAGAGACCATGGTCGGTTCATGCCGACGAACTAGGCGAGTGGGCTCGGCGAAAGCGACAAGAGCATGATATCAACTAAGACAACGTTTTTTTCTGATACAGGCCCTGCTATTTTACCGGTGTTCTGTCTTAGATCGCCCATCGATTTCAGCACGGATGGCAGCGACAAGCTAGCAGCCAAGAATGACCAAGTCGTTTACCGCCTCCAGTTGTGGAAGTGCTGCCCTCTGGGTTTGTGACGTCAAGTGCATCAAGACATACAAAAGGACTGACCGAGGAATTCGTCTTCAGTGGGTTAGGCGAAAGCGACAAGAGCATGATGTCGACAAGGACAACGTTTTTTTTCTGATACAGGTCGGTGACAAAACCTCCCATTTTTCTAGCGATAGTTTTACGCTAATTGTTGTGCCATTCCCAAAGACGTGTATCATCAGTATGTATAACTGTATTGGTGTATGCAAATTGCTTGTTTGCGGTGATGTTGAGACTAATCCCGGCACTACGACCGAAGAAATGTTTGCATAAATAATGAACCGACTGACGGAAAGTCACAAAGAAATCATAGAGCCATGCACCGTTCCAAGTAGGTCGATGCAGAAAGGGAAAAACACTCTCGAACCAGGGCGCTGCGCCAACGCTCCGCTTACCCTTTCCCTCGAAAGCTCGTCTGCTTCACGGAGTGGACTGTTAGAAAGCACGTGCGCAGTGTACGGATGCAAGTTGTTTCGACAATGTTAGGGCGCCGCTTTGATATCATAGCGTGTTTTCGAACATGGCTTATGCAAGAGAAGAATCGACCGGGCAGCACTATGATGTAATTGGTTGCACAAATAAGCAAAAAAAAATAAAACTTAAAATAAACGCCGATTCAGTGTGCGAGACCCACGCTGTCAAACAGGTTGAATGTGGATGCGGCATGTTTGTGCTTCACCGGTTCCCCGCTGCTCCGGACCTACGACGCCGGTGGCTGGCGAATTTAAACAGGAAAGACTTCTTGCCATCGAAGGGCAGTCGTGTGTGCTCCGGCCATTTCTTGGACGGCCGGCGAACTACGGAGAACCCTGTGCCGCTCCTTCGCCTGGGCTACGACAGAAAGGTTAGCGAAGGGCGGCTTAGACATTGAAAAAAGAAAACAGTTGCGTGACTCCGGGTCTACCGATTTAATAGTACACGACGCGACACAGTTTGCGCACAAATAATTCTCACGCGAGGCGATTACAGAGAGGCACATCAATGTGCCAATATTGTAACAGTGGATTCCAAATCAGAAAAACAAAAAACGGATCCGTCGCACTTGCTATCTGTACTCGGTATTTATATATCGAATCATATTTAAATTGGAGCTTTCTACTTTTTCAATTAAAGTAGACGTGGCAACGCAGGTCTGAGCCGCTAACCGCGCAGTTAGTTTAAATGTTCCCGGCACCCCCAAGCTGGGATTTTATTGGGTCGTGCAGACTGCCTACTAGCCGTTTGTTAAGATTATTTGCAGCAAATAGATTG